AAGCTTTAGCAGATCGTCCCCCAGACACTCTCGTTGAAAACATAAAAAACCTCTATAGACGTCTTTGGCAGCCAATGAGTTAATATTGTTGTTTAGCTTTACCAAACCCCCCCTCCCCCCTCTGCTGTTTACTTCTCTCTCATGGACGACACATATTGGGTTACAGAGCAACATGCCGGCTGAAAGCTTTGGCCTTTCGCCATAATTTAGTTAAAGATGCCTTCCAGTGTTGTTCACTGCCGACATTAGAAGTCTGAATTTCAAACCTTCAGCTAATGCTGCGTTACGATATGCCGCCCAAAGTCAGACAACAGGGTTTTATTCACCAATAGATGTTTGGATTTTGAACTTGTGCTTATCGAGGGTCTTCTGATTCCCGGCATCAGAACTCAGATTTAATTTTGGGTTTCAGTTTATTGTCATAAATGTCACCTTTCAAGTTCAAACAGAAGATACTTGTCTAGCTAGCCTAGCTAAGCTAGCAACAGTGTGGGGGCTTAAATACCAAACCGATGGTAAGAACCAGCATAGACAGGCCCCCAGGTGGATCTTATAGTTCTTCTAGCATCTGGACAAACACATAACGTCTACTAACTAGCTACTAACTAGCTTCTATCTATAACTAGCTACTGACCAGAACTGGAAAGATGGAGGTCTCTAATGTAGGAGTAGATGGTGTAAAGTGGAGGTCTTCAACAGGGGGTCCACGGCCCCTAGGGGGTCCAGGAGGTGCTGCATGGGGGTCGCGAAAGTTTTGGTTGATTAGACTTTTTTTCTTTTCTTTTTTTAATATTTTCCTTTTTAATATTTTCTTTTTTTAATATTTTTTAATATTTTTTTTAAATATTTTTTCCACTTTTTTTTTTTAAATCTACATGAAGACTGTAGTAAACAGATAAATGGAGGCAGAAGATTTCTTCCAGTCATCATCAAAAGATGAGAGCACAGAAAAACCTGAGGACTTCCTCCTGGGGATCAATAAAGTATCTATCTATCTATCTATCTATCTATCTATCTATCTATCTATCTGTCCCACCAACCAGGAACCAGAACCAGATGTTTACAGTAAAAACAGGAAGATATCAACCTGTGGATTATCTGAGGATCTTAGTACTGAATGCCCAATAACAAGGGACATTTACACACTGTTTTTAGGCTGTTTTCAGGCTGTTTTGGGCTGTTTTCTGCCCTTCTCTGTCTCTTTCTGTTGTTTTTTTTTCATTTTTTTTTGGCTCTTTCTGCTGTTTTCTGCCTTTTTTGCCCCTTTTCTACCTTTTTCTGCTGTTTTTCTGCTGTTTTCTGCCTTT